AGTTTTTCGAGATACGAGCCGTCTCTCGGCCGATTTTTTGCTTTGAGTTGCGAGCTAAAATTCGGGTTACGAGCCAACTTCAGATACCCCACCGCTAGTTGGCGGGGCTGGCTAGCTGCTTCCTCAGAGAGGTTCCTCCACGGCCGCTCCCCCCACAGAGCAGGGCCTCCGCGTCCCGCACCTTCACCCGCACGCTGCCCGGCTTCTCCCTTTTACCAACTTGAAAAGTAGGATATATCTCATCGTGGTTTCATTTGCATTTTTCCAATTATCAGTAATTTGCTATTTATTTTATCTTTTATTAGTGGCCTGTTTCATTGGCCTGTTTTTTTTAAAAATCAGGTGGTTTGTCTTTACCTTATAAGTTTGTAGCAGTTTGGATATTATTGCTTTGCCAGTTCTATGCATTGCAAATATTCTCTACCAATCTGTGGCTTGCCTCCTTATTTTGTATGTAGCATCTTTTCATATAGAGAGGATTTTTGAAGGTTTTTGCTTTTTAACAACTATAATATCTGTAGCAAGGAAACACATTGAAATGATTTCTCTTCAGAATTTGATGTGTTATTCACCTTCAGTAGGAGGACCTCAGTTTAAAAAACTCGGTCAGGTCTTTGGGCAGGAATAAAACTTATACAGCTAGTAAATGGGTACAGTGAATGGGAGTCCAGCAAAACTGCATGTTATAGCGGCCACTAGTGACCAGGAATGCCCACAGCACCTACCTTCCTGGTGAGCACCAGGGATGGGAGATTCCTGAACTCACATCCTGGCATAGGAGTAGTCCTCCTCTCTGACTGTGCCCTGGGGTGTCTCCTCCTCCCAGGACTAGTCCTCCGCTCTGACTGTGCCCTGGGGGCATCTCCTCCTCCCAGGACTAGTCCTCCGCTCTGACTGTGCCCTGGGGGCATCTCCTCCTCCCAGGACTAGTCCTCCGCTCTGACTGTGCCCTGGGGGCATCTCCTCCTCCCAGGACTAGTCCTCCGCTCTGACTGTGCCCTGGGGGCATCTCCTCCTCCCAGGACTAGTCCTCCGCTCTGACTGTGCCCTGGGGGCATCTCCTCCTCCCAGGACTAGTCCTCCGCTCTGACTGTGCCCTGGGGGCATCTCCTCCTCCCAGGACTAGTCCTCCGCTCTGACTGTGCCCTGGGGGCATCTCCTCCTCCCAGGACTAGTCCTCCGCTCTGACTGTGCCCTGGGGGCATCTCCTCCTCCCAGGACTAGTCCTCCGCTCTGACTGTGCCCTGGGGGCATCTCCTCCTCCCAGGACTAGTCCTCCGCTCTGACTGTGCCCTGGGGGCATCTCCTCCTCCCAGGACTAGTCCTCCGCTCTGACTGTGCCCTGGGGGCATCTCCTCCTCCCAGGACTAGTCCTCCGCTCTGACTGTGCCCTGGGGGCATCTCCTCCTCCCAGGACTAGTCCTCCGCTCTGACTGTGCCCTGGGGGCATCTCCTCCTCCCAGGACTAGTCCTCCGCTCTGACTGTGCCCTGGGGGCATCTCCTCCTCCCAGGACTAGTCCTCCGCTCTGACTGTGCCCTGGGGGCATCTCCTCCTCCCAGGACTAGTCCTCCGCTCTGACTGTGCCCTGGGGGCATCTCCTCCTCCCAGGACTAGTCCTCCGCTCTGACTGTGCCCTGGGGGCATCTCCTCCTCCCAGGACTAGTCCTCCGCTCTGACTGTGCCCTGGGGGCATCTCCTCCTCCCAGGACTAGTCCTCCGCTCTGACTGTGCCCTGGGGGCATCTCCTCCTCCCAGGACTAGTCCTCCGCTCTGACTGTGCCCTGGGGGCATCTCCTCCTCCCAGGACTAGTCCTCCGCTCTGACTGTGCCCTGGGGGCATCTCCTCCTCCCAGGACTAGTCCTCCGCTCTGACTGTGCCCTGGGGGCATCTCCTCCTCCCAGGACTAGTCCTCCGCTCTGACTGTGCCCTGGGGGCATCTCCTCCTCCCAGGACTAGTCCTCCGCTCTGACTGTGCCCTGGGGGCATCTCCTCCTCCCAGGACTAGTCCTCCGCTCTGACTGTGCCCTGGGGGCATCTCCTCCTCCCAGGACTAGTCCTCCGCTCTGACTGTGCCCTGGGGGCATCTCCTCCTCCCAGGACTAGTCCTCCGCTCTGACTGTGCCCTGGGGGCATCTCCTCCTCCCAGGACTAGTCCTCCGCTCTGACTGTGCCCTGGGGGCATCTCCTCCTCCCAGGACTAGTCCTCCGCTCTGACTGTGCCCTGGGGGCATCTCCTCCTCCCAGGACTAGTCCTCCGCTCTGACTGTGCCCTGGGGGCATCTCCTCCTCCCAGGACTAGTCCTCCGCTCTGACTGTGCCCTGGGGGCATCTCCTCCTCCCAGGACTAGTCCTCCGCTCTGACTGTGCCCTGGGGGCATCTCCTCCTCCCAGGACTAGTCCTCCGCTCTGACTGTGCCCTGGGGGCATCTCCTCCTCCCAGGACTAGTCCTCCGCTCTGACTGTGCCCTGGGGGCATCTCCTCCTCCCAGGACTAGTCCTCCGCTCTGACTGTGCCCTGGGGGCATCTCCTCCTCCCAGGACTAGTCCTCCGCTCTGACTGTGCCCTGGGGGCATCTCCTCCTCCCAGGACTAGTCCTCCGCTCTGACTGTGCCCTGGGGGCATCTCCTCCTCCCAGGACTAGTCCTCCGCTCTGACTGTGCCCTGGGGGCATCTCCTCCTCCCAGGACTAGTCCTCCGCTCTGACTGTGCCCTGGGGGCATCTCCTCCTCCCAGGACTAGTCCTCCGCTCTGACTGTGCCCTGGGGGCATCTCCTCCTCCCAGGACTAGTCCTCCGCTCTGACTGTGCCCTGGGGGCATCTCCTCCTCCCAGGACTAGTCCTCCGCTCTGACTGTGCCCTGGGGGCATCTCCTCCTCCCAGGACTAGTCCTCCGCTCTGACTGTGCCCTGGGGGCATCTCCTCCTCCCAGGACTAGTCCTCCGCTCTGACTGTGCCCTGGGGGCATCTCCTCCTCCCAGGACTAGTCCTCCGCTCTGACTGTGCCCTGGGGGCATCTCCTCCTCCCAGGACTAGTCCTCCGCTCTGACTGTGCCCTGGGGGCATCTCCTCCTCCCAGGACTAGTCCTCCGCTCTGACTGTGCCCTGGGGGCATCTCCTCCTCCCAGGACTAGTCCTCCGCTCTGACTGTGCCCTGGGGGCATCTCCTCCTCCCAGGACTAGTCCTCCGCTCTGACTGTGCCCTGGGGGCATCTCCTCCTCCCAGGACTAGTCCTCCGCTCTGACTGTGCCCTGGGGGCATCTCCTCCTCCCAGGACTAGTCCTCCGCTCTGACTGTGCCCTGGGGGCATCTCCTCCTCCCAGGACTAGTCCTCCGCTCTGACTGTGCCCTGGGGGCATCTCCTCCTCCCAGGACTAGTCCTCCGCTCTGACTGTGCCCTGGGGGCATCTCCTCCTCCCAGGACTAGTCCTCCGCTCTGACTGTGCCCTGGGGGCATCTCCTCCTCCCAGGACTAGTCCTCCGCTCTGACTGTGCCCTGGGGGCATCTCCTCCTCCCAGGACTAGTCCTCCGCTCTGACTGTGCCCTGGGGGCATCTCCTCCTCCCAGGACTAGTCCTCCGCTCTGACTGTGCCCTGGGGGCATCTCCTCCTCCCAGGACTAGTCCTCCGCTCTGACTGTGCCCTGGGGGCATCTCCTCCTCCCAGGACTAGTCCTCCGCTCTGACTGTGCCCTGGGGGCATCTCCTCCTCCCAGGACTAGTCCTCCGCTCTGACTGTGCCCTGGGGGCATCTCCTCCTCCCAGGACTAGTCCTCCGCTCTGACTGTGCCCTGGGGGCATCTCCTCCTCCCAGGACTAGTCCTCCGCTCTGACTGTGCCCTGGGGGCATCTCCTCCTCCCAGGACTAGTCCTCCGCTCTGACTGTGCCCTGGGGGCATCTCCTCCTCCCAGGACTAGTCCTCCGCTCTGACTGTGCCCTGGGGGCATCTCCTCCTCCCAGGACTAGTCCTCCGCTCTGACTGTGCCCTGGGGGCATCTCCTCCTCCCAGGACTAGTCCTCCGCTCTGACTGTGCCCTGGGGGCATCTCCTCCTCCCAGGACTAGTCCTCCGCTCTGACTGTGCCCTGGGGGCATCTCCTCCTCCCAGGACTAGTCCTCCGCTCTGACTGTGCCCTGGGGGCATCTCCTCCTCCCAGGACTAGTCCTCCGCTCTGACTGTGCCCTGGGGGCATCTCCTCCTCCCAGGACTAGTCCTCCGCTCTGACTGTGCCCTGGGGGCATCTCCTCCTCCCAGGACTAGTCCTCCGCTCTGACTGTGCCCTGGGGGCATCTCCTCCTCCCAGGACTAGTCCTCCGCTCTGACTGTGCCCTGGGGGCATCTCCTCCTCCCAGGACTAGTCCTCCGCTCTGACTGTGCCCTGGGGGCATCTCCTCCTCCCAGGACTAGTCCTCCGCTCTGACTGTGCCCTGGGGGCATCTCCTCCTCCCAGGACTAGTCCTCCTCTCTGACTGTGGCCTATGGGAGTCTCCTCCCAGGACTGGTGAACTGGGCCTGTGACAACACAGCACGAAGGGCAAAGACTGGGTGGAAGAGCCATCCTCGAAACAGGATAACTAGAGAAACCAGGGGAAATTCGGAAAAGAGGAGCATCAGTGGGACACAGCACTGATGGGGGAGGAAGGTGAGGGAGAGGGAGACTTGGAGACTCTCTCTTGGGGTTTCCCAGGAGGGCAGCTGGGTGACTGGCAAGGCCCCTCTGGGAGAGGAGATGCAGTGGGTTCCATTCGGTGATGCATGTCTGAGGCTGAAGGAGCGCGAGTCTGGGAGGTATGGGCCGTGGGTTGGAGCTCAGCGGAGAGCTGGGATTGCAGGCCTGAGGGCGGGGGTGCAGTGGGAGGAGGGAAGGCGGGGGCGGCCTTGGGATGCACCTGGGAAGCATTGAGCCTGTGCTGAGGGGTGGCAGGGAGAGAGGGAGGTGACGCCCAGGCCTTGCCCTGGAGCTGTGATGTCTCTGACCAACCTGTTGTGTGCCTTCAGGCCTGGGAGCACTCCGTGGGGCTCATCTGCTTTCCCAGCCTCCACAGGCTGGCCGGCGAAGTGTCCAGCCAGCTGGCCCAGGAGATCCAGCAGGTGTTGGTGGGAAAGCCTGCGGGTGAGTGCAGAGCGGCCCTGCGCCCTGGTGGGAGCAGCACGCGCTTAAGGCCTTCGGCCCTGCTCTGCCCTTCTGCTTTCTAGTTAGTCAGCGAAGTGCCTGCCAAAGAGACCATGGGCCCAGTCTGCCACCGAGTCTCTTGGGAACAAGGGAAAGGCTAGCAGAGCAGGGAAGGGGGTCTCAGGGAACTGCTGCTCCTGGGACACACACACACACACACACACACACACACACACATAGGAGCAGGGCCTCTGGGAGGAAGTGCTGGGCTAGAAGGCACCTGAGTGTTCAGTGGAGAGTTCGATCCAGACAAGACCCCGGGTCAGAGCACATGTTTTGCTGTGGGGTCCCTGACTCGTAGTCTTCCAAGCACAGAGCCCAGACAAAGGCTGTGGAGGGAGTTCTGGGCAGGGTGGCCTGAGCCAGGTGCAGACGCAGGAACCCCTGTGATGGAGGGGCTGCGATAGAGACAGTGGGGAAGAGGCCATGTTGTGGGAAGTCTATGGTCAGGAACTTGCTCCTATTACTTGGCAATGGGGAGCCATTGACGGTTGCTGACCAGGGAAGACTGCATGCTAAAGGCTGGCCTCCAAGGAGGGTAACTGGCTGAGTATGAGGGTGGGTGTAGGTTCAGGCGGCCTTGTGGGGAGGGCAGGAAGTGGACGTCCCCAAAGAGGCGAAGGTAGAGCTCACAGGTGGGTGGCAAGTGGAGGGCAAACTGGTGAGCAAGTCCCTGCATCACCCGCGGACACATTTCCTCTTCTCCGCTGTTGTCAGAGCAAGCGCGGGCGGCCGCGGGGCAGCTGCTGCGGTGGAAGCGGGATGCGCAGCAGGACGGCTACCTGCTCCTGAAGTCGGCCTTCCTGCTCTCGGGGACGGACACGGTAAGTGCCGGGAGCCATGGCCTGGCCTCCTCAGCCACCGGGAGGGAGGCCTCAGCTCAGGGCAGGGCGAGGCTCCCAGATCCTTTCTTCCCAGGAAGCTGGCTTCTCCTCTCTCACCCTGGCTCCCCTCTGGTGTAGGAACGGCTTCTGAAATTCTGGGATTCTGGTCTGGATCCTGCCCTGTCAGTTGACCGCCCGTGACATGCTGCACCTCACTGTGACGGGTGCAGCTGATTTGAGATTTGGGGACAGTAGCGCCTCAGTGCTGGGGCCGCTGTGAGATTGAAAAGGGCTGGCGTCCCAGCACTGAGTCCGCCCTGGTGACGCCACGGCCACGCCAGGGTGAGGACCAGGCTCTGCTGTGGGGTGTGGCCGCAGCCTGTCTGACCAGGGCTGTGCTCTGAGCCTCGGCTGGGTTCTGCCTGCTGTTAAACTCAGACGGAAGGAGCCACACCGGGAGGCGCTGTCCGAGCATGCTCACCCAGAGGCAGTGCTAGCAGACCGCTGCCTTCCCTGCCCACCCGCACCCACTGTGAAGAGGGGCCTGGTCCTCCTCCCCGAGTGGTCTGCTGAGGCCGGTGTCCTGGCAGCTTGGCCATCAGCAGAAATGGCCCGAGGCCCCTTGCAGGGCAGGCCCAAGACTCCCTGCTGGGGTGCCCACTGTGGGGGGTCTAGCATGCGGCATTGGGAATGGCAGGGGAGCAGAGCGCAGCTGCTGCCTTCTGTCCGGGGTGACACAGGCATCGCAGGAGCCTTAGAGGCAGCATGTGGTGTGAGCAGCAGGCGGCAGCGTTAGCCAGGGAGGGCCTCCTGGCTTTCCCCGTGGGAGCGGGAGCCCTGCTGGCCCGGTGGCCAGGGGGCCGCAGCACGGAGTGGGCCTCTGCTCCCGGGAAGGGCTGCTTCCAGCTGAGCAGTAACACTGACCGGAAGATGGCTTTCCGCTGGGGCAGCCAGACCCAGAGCCAAGAGAGTGAGCAGCTGCCTTTGGGGAGCCCGTGGAGCAGGGGTGGGGAGAGCTGCCTGCGGGGGCGCTGCAGAGCCAGGCGTCCAGGGAGGCGGGCCTTGCCTGCCCAGGAGCCTTTGGGGCAGGGGGCCCGGCACCGCCTGATACTCCTGGTTCTGGCCTCTTCTCCTTTCTGTTTTTCTAACTGTGTAGACAGCATGCTTTTTAGATGACCAACCCCACGTGTACACACACACACACACACATGCACACATGCACATGCACATACACACGCATGTGTGCGCACACTGAGACAGCAGCCACAGTGATCCAGGTGGAGCTGCGGGCGGGCACGTGGAAAAAGGTCCCGGGTGCTGCACACACAGGCTGGGCCCTGCTGGTGCCCGTGTCCTCTCCTCTGTCCACAGCTCTGGCGCTAGTCTTCCCGGTGGGTGGGCCGTCGTGAGGTTGGATCTGACGAGGGGATCAAGGGCCTGGGGCAGTGCCGGCCGCCCGGCCTCGGTCACGGCCTGCTCTTCCCTTGCAGGAGGCGCTGGGCAGCGTTGCCGAGTCGGGGCTCCCAGCCCTGCTCCTGCAGTGTCTGTACCTCTTCTTCGTCTTTCCTCTGGAGGAGGACGAGCATTCAGAGGACGATGTTCAAGTTCAGAGGATGTTTGTGCAGGTGAGTGAGAGCCGGGCTGAGCCCCTCTGGGCTGGGCCTATCTCTGCCTCTGGGAGCTGCTCCCACCTGCCTTGCTCAAGGCCAGCTCACCCCTCCGCCCCACATTCTGCAAACGCGAGAGGCCTAGGCATCTGGAGGACGGACTTCCCTCTTGTGCCTCTGTATCCCTCCCTGCTCCCCTTGTTCTTCCCCAGAAACGTGAGTGCCTTCTCCGCTTGGCCCACCAGCTCCTTCTCCAGCCCGCGTTCCTGGTCCCTGCCAGTCCTCGCCTGCATCTGGAACCTTCTGTCGCTGGCCACCTCCCCTCTGAGACGCGCTTGCTAACTGCACTGCATCACTAACTAGCCAACGCTTTCTAAGCAGTTGCCACGCCCCTTGTGCCATGGTCTCTTGTCTGTCACCTCCTCCGTCCCAGGATGTGTGCAGTGCTGTGCTCCTCGCTCTATACAAACACAGGAAACGTGAGCTCAGCGGCGGGTGGGGGCTGGGCCGGACTCTGGCTCCCCAGTTCACTCTCAGTGGGCTCCGCACCACCCGCGATGCCGCCTCCCCTCCTGGGCAGCCAGACCCAGAGCCAAGAGAGTGAGCAGCTGCCTTTGGGGAGCCCGTGGAGCAGGGGTGGGGAGAGCTGCCTGCGGGGGCGCTGCAGAGCCAGGCGTCCAGGGAGGCGGGCCTTGCCTGCCCAGGAGCCTTTGGGGCAGGGGGCCCGGCACCGCCTGATACTCCTGGTTCTGGCCTCTTCTCCTTTCTGTTTTTCTAACTGTGTAGACAGCATGCTTTTTAGATGACCAACCCCACGTGTACACACACACACACACACATGCACACATGCACATGCACATACACACGCATGTGTGCGCACACTGAGACAGCAGCCACAGTGATCCAGGTGGAGCTGCGGGCGGGCACGTGGAAAAAGGTCCCGGGTGCTGCACACACAGGCTGGGCCCTGCTGGTGCCCGTGTCCTCTCCTCTGTCCACAGCTCTGGCGCTAGTCTTCCCGGTGGGTGGGCCGTCGTGAGGTTGGATCTGACGAGGGGATCAAGGGCCTGGGGCAGTGCCGGCCGCCCGGCCTCGGTCACGGCCTGCTCTTCCCTTGCAGGAGGCGCTGGGCAGCGTTGCCGAGTCGGGGCTCCCAGCCCTGCTCCTGCAGTGTCTGTACCTCTTCTTCGTCTTTCCTCTGGAGGAGGACGAGCATTCGGAGGACGATGTTCAAGTTCAGAGGATGTTTGTGCAGGTGAGTGAGAGCCGGGCTGAGCCCCTCTGGGCTGGGCCTATCTCTGCCTCTGGGAGCTGCTCCCACCTGCCTTGCTCAAGGCCAGCTCACCCCTCCGCCCCACATTCTGCAAACGCGAGAGGCCTAGGCATCTGGAGGACGGACTTCCCTCTTGTGCCTCTGTATCCCTCCCTGCTCCCCTTGTTCTTCCCCAGAAACGTGAGTGCCTTCTCCGCTTGGCCCACCAGCTCCTTCTCCAGCCCGCGTTCCTGGTCCCTGCCAGTCCTCGCCTGCATCTGGAACCTTCTGTCGCTGGCCACCTCCCCTCTGAGATGCGCTTGCTAACGGCACTGCATCACTAGCCAACGCTTTCTAAGCAGTTGCCACGCCCCTTGTGTCGTGGTCTCTTGTCTGTCACCTCCTCCGTCCCAGGATGTGTGCAGCGCTGTGCTCCTCGCTCTATACAAACACAGGAAACGTGAGCTCAGCGGCGGGTGGGGGCTGGGCCGGACTCTGGCTCCCCAGTTCACTCTCAGTGGGCTCCGCACCACCCACAATGCCGCCTCCCCTCCTCCCAGAAGCCATCTCAGGCCACTGAATTGCAAGTGCGATTTCCTCTTGTCATTGCCCCTCGCTCCTGTCCACTGACAGCCAGCAGCAACTTTTCACATAATGCCCCCCCTCAGCTCCCTGCCCCCCACTGACAAGTCCTGCTCTCTGTCTTCGGGGGCCACCCTCCACGGACAACTGCTGCCCCTGCCCCTGGTGAGGGTGGGGAGCAGGGCCGTCTCACTCAGGGCTGTGTGTCCAGCGCCTGGGCAGTGCCTCCCAGAGCAGGTGCTAGACCGTTTGGGGATTTCCAAGTGCAGCTGCCCATTGAGCATCTGCATGCAGATGAACACCCATCGCAGACTCATCCTCCAGCCAGAGGCGTGGCTGCCAGAGGCATCGGCCCGTCCTCGGCTTATCCGCACTCTGCCTGCTGGAAACCCTGGAAACGCTGGCCCCATTTGCCTGGATCTAACCATATCCCAAATGCGGTTGGGACACAGTGCTGGGCACGTGGACACATCTTTATCCTGTGGCTTCTCCGTGTGCTCAGGGAGGGAGCGCGGCCCTGTCTTTCCATGGTTGCCCGCGGACGCACAGAATGCGCCCCCACACCTGCGTTCATTCCTCATTTCATTCCATAAAAAGTATGAAGTTCCTCCCGGTGCAGCTCTGTGCCAGATGCGATCCCTCAGCTGGCACAGTCCCTCTCGGAGAGGGGACAGGAAGGTGTGGAAGCAAGTGGGGGACATCCCGCGAATAAGTCAGCATGTCCACTGCCTTCGGTGCTCTGCAAAGAAAGGCAAAGGCAAAGGCAGGGCTGGGAAGGGAGGCCCGCGGGCTGACTCACAGAGGAGCATGGAGGACGCTGCTCTGAGGGAATGGCATTGAGAGCTGGTGGTTGGGGAAGAGCTGTGATGGGGAGGTGGGGGCAAGCAGCAGAATGGTCATCTGAGCCAAGGGCCGAGGCCACACCCACGTGCAGGGTCTGTAGCCAGTCCTAGGTGCCCGGCCAGCCTCCATCCCTGTGCTGAGGGCCTGCATTCAGTGGCAGGAGCTTCTGTACCTGCTGAGCTGGGAGAAGGTCCCGTTAGACCAGCAAGAGCCCAAGAGAAAGGAGGCCGGGTGAGTCCCTGCAGGTGCTGCCTGCTGTGACTCTCCCCAAGGGCATAGGCAGTGTCCCAAGTCCACAGGAGACTGGGTTGGTGGGAACAAGGGTCCCAGGTCGGAGGTTACAGGACAACGCTCATGGCTGTGTGGAGAAGTGAGGCATGAATGCTAACCAGGGATTCAGGATACATCTGGCTTTTTATTTTATTTTATTATTATTATCTATAACAATAAAAGTGGAATATGCTAATTAGACCGGACCTCCTTCCGGACGTCCTTCCGGACGACCTTCAGGACAAAGCCAGGGCTGCAAGGGCTGAGGCAAGCTGCTGCGACTGCGAGGGCCAAGCCCCTTGCACAAATTTCATGCATTGGGCCTCTAGTTTAAATCTATTTTTATTGATTTCAGAGAGGAAGGTAGAGGGAGAGACAGATAGAAACAGCAATGATGAGAGAGGATCATTGATTGGCTGCCTCCGGCATGACCCCTACAACCCAGAATCGATCCTGCAACCCAGATATGTGCCCTGACTAGGAATCGAACCTTGACCTCCTGGTCCATAGGTTGACACTCAACCACTGAGCCACACTGGCCAGGCTGCATCTTGTTTTCTAAGTAGCACAGGGTCCTGTTAACCCTGTATTTTAATGGTCAATGCCATTTTCCTGGCATTTCTATATAAAAAGACACCCATCCAAGTCCAACACTTCTTTGTTATTCTGACTTGGAAAGGGTAACTCCTGCCTTTACAGCAGTTAAGAGTTCAGACAGCCCGAGCCCCTCATCCTTTGCTGGTGGCACTGGTGACCATGCTGGTCTGGGCAGAGGGTGACAGCATACAAAGCCATCTCTGTGCTGACATGCGCCCTCAGTGCTCTGCAAAAGCAGGGAGCAAGTCCACACGGCAGCAAGGAGGCTTCTAATCGGTCTCCTGGGTCTTCCTTCCTTCTTCCTCTCAGATGTTGCTCAACATCTGCAGCGAGCCTCAGGGGCTGGAGGGCCTCCTCGCAGGGAATGAGCTCCAGGCATTGCTGATTGCCACCACCTGCCTCCGGGAGCACAGCTGCTGCTTTTGGAAGGAGCCCACCTTCTGCGTGCTGAGGGCCATCTCCCAGGCCCAGGACCTCAGCGTCATCCAGTACCTGCAGGGTAAGTCCCCGGGGACCCACTTCCCACAGCAAGTCCCTGTCATGCCCTTGCAGCATCAGGATAGATTTCTGGGACCAGAAATGAGAAGGGCAAACAGGTTCTCATGGACGCCCAGCTGGGCCAGTAGCTGACCCTGTATTGCTTGGTTCCATTCATGAAAGTGCTTTTGTTGTTCATTTCGATGCTCCATTGGAGGAGGGGAAGGGGAGTCCCTTAGCTGCTCACATACTGTCAACCAGAAACTGTGCTGGGCCCATCTGTGTGTTATCTCATCTGTTCCTGGAGATGGATGTTGATGATCATGCCATTTTGCAATGGGAAACAGATTAGTATGTTGAAGAGCTTGCCAAGGCTCCTGGGTTTCCAAGAAGAGAATCAGATTTGAACTTGGAGATGCCGCTCCCTGGGCCTCAGCATCTGCTGGGGCAGCAGCAGGGACGTACACCTGGCTCTGCGCTCCGGTGGCGTGACCTCGGGCACTTCACCGCCTGGGTGCCTCATCTTCTTGTCTGTAAAATGGGAAGGCGGTCCCGCGGATCTCACGGGATGGTGACGCTTTGGGGGTTGACATATCTGAAGTGCCTAGATGGCGCGGGCATGCAGTGGGTTCCCCTGGCCGTCACTGCCGCATTCCTGACCTTCTCAGCTCTCCCTGACCTTATCAGCTCTCCCTGACCTTCTCCAGCTCTCCCTCACCTTCTCCAGCTCTCCCTGACCTTCTGGCCGTCACTGCCGCATCACCACCCGGTGTGAGCCAGGCAGGGCGCCGAGGGCGTCAACTCCATCAGCAGGACCAGCTGTAGCTGGTCCTTCAGCATCTCCTGCCGCCTCCCAAGGACACAGATAACCCTGGGAACATGGGCCGCCATGGCTCACGTCTTGGGAGGAGGTGTTGGCCTCCTCTCCGTGGCTGGCCAGAGGGAGGCTCTGCCAGGCCAACCCGAGGGGCACTGTGACAAAGGATCCCTGAGCTGCCTCCCTACCTGCTCAGTGGCATTTCCTTAGCTCACCAGCTAAAGTGCCTCTTGGGAGCACAGCCGTCCATGCCTGGGCTGACCCCAAGGTATGGTGTCTTTGGGGAGTAGGTCAGAGCCTGCCGGTGTGACCTGCCTGTCCACAATCACATGCCCTGCGGCCGGTCTTCTTTTGGGGCCTCCTGTGACAGAGGCACCCGCGGTGAGGGCTGGCCAAGCTCAGCAAGCCCACCTCCTACCGAGGCAGAGCCCTCAGGAAACGGCAGCCCAGTTCCGGTTCAGGTTCCCGTGAGGCCAGGCCCAGCGGTAATGGTCCAGGCTGAGGTGGGCCCGAGGTGCTTTGTAGTCCCCCCACTCCACTCACAGGCTGGAGCTGGAGATGCCCAAGAAAAGGCTGTACCCATTGGAGGGGTGGGGTCCTCACTGTATCGTACTCTCAACTGGAAAAGAACAATTCTGCCTCGTGGAGCCTGCCACCGGGTGGAGCCTGTACCCCTGTGAGAAATGGGCCGGTTCTGTGGAGAAGGTGGGCAAGGGAGCGCTGGGCTGGCCGCTACCTGCCGAGCCCTGAATTCTAGGTGTGCCCCGTCCACATGCAGACTCTTTAGTACAGCCCAGGCCTCGCAACCCAGGGACCAAGTACACATTATTATTGTCTCAGGTTCTTGGTAGGCAATCTTCCTGACCTTCTCAGCTCTCCCTGACCTTCTCAGCTCT